AAGGAAAAACTAGAAAGAAGTCTTGATTAGCCAAGAGAACGAACATTGTTCTATCCCTACTTTGCTAAGTAACTAAAAAAAACTTTTATTTCCTCCACTTCATTTAACGCACTTGAAAGGGATACTTGATTCTGAATTCAGAAGAATTATATTGAATAATCAAAGCTTCTAAGACAACTATGTTCTATCGGGCATTATTAATAAGTTCGACCAATGTTCACAACTTTACAAAATGAAAAACTGAAGCACAAGGATGTTATTTTCCAGTGTTTCAGTATTACTGTTATTTCATTAAGCAACAAATATTTACTGAGAATCTGCTATGTACCAGGTGCTATTTTAGGTACTGGGGATGCAGCAGGAAATAAAACAAATGGAATCCCTGCCCTCATGGAACTTACACATGCTGCTCATACACACGAATGAATGGGTTTATGTACTCATGTCAAGAGGTCATTTATAAGGTTTTGAACACACCTAAAATTCTTGTGGGGCCACAGTGGGTTCTAAAATATCCTCGACACCTTCTAGTACGCTAATAGAGAATGTTCAGTGTGAGGTCCTGATGGCCATTACTATCACCTACCATCAACCCCGTGGTGTTCTATTATGCACAGCATGGCCAGCATTTGGCCAAAAGAAGATGGGACGCTTTCCAGATGTTTTCTGAGATGATGGAGAACTTGATGCAGTTCTGAATAGATCAGTTAAGAAGAGATGGGGTCCTTATATGTTATAAGGGCAGTCAGTATCTTCTGCTAGATAATAAAAGGTTTCCCATCTATAAGGGAAAAATTATTGGAAATGGCACTTTTGTTTACAGACAACAGTCCCTTGTTCCATCTTCGAGGCAAACATAACCCTAGTTCCACTGACTATCAATTTTTCATCAATTACAGCAGGTCCTCGAATAATGCCATTCCATTCAATGTCATTCATTATAATGTTGATGAGATGCCTTAGGAGCTCAACTCTTACCTATTAGCCTGTGGTAAAATTGGTTACACATTTTGCTTAAAAATCACAAAACCTATTAATGACAAAGTTAAGTGGGGACTTACTGTATTTCAAAGGGGATTAGCTAAAGAAAGAAGGCAGAGGAGGAGGGGGAACTTGGGAAGGAAGGAGAGAGAGGAGAAAGGAAGAGGGGAGTAAAAGAGAGAAGACATATGGCTTTTTAAAAAAATCATCAATGGACTTCTAGTGATGAGAAATTTAAGAATGTTCCCACACTCTCAAGTGTTTCAGCTCCAGTAACATCTCCAAACTATCTGTGGTGACTGTGCAGAATTTGAAGATAGTCGAGTCCAAGACCTGAGCAGGCCTCAATCACTTCCCCTCACCAGATGCTCCTGAAAATATGAACCTCCTCTGATCTCCCAGACCATCCCCTTCTTTCTGCCCCTGTAATCAAAGGACTTCGAAGTGTCAATATTTCAAGACCAAAAACTTTATTTTTGAAATTTCACCTCTACACAAAAGCATGCTGTGTGTGTGTGTATGTCAGAGACACAGAGAAGGAAATTGATAATGTTCAGTGATCTTTTCAAACTGCCAATCTGGGGATGTGACAATGAGGACAGTGTGCTGAGTCTAGGATAAGCCAGCCCCTCAAGGAGCAGCGAGCCCACCCCCTTAGCACTGCAACCCGCGTGCTCCCTTTCCTCTTACATACAGCTGTGAAATGCTGTCCCTTTGCATCCATGCTCCATATGCTGAATAAAAGATGCCAAAGACAAATCGCCCTGTCCTACTTGGAAAAGACTGGAGAGTTGCATCAGGTTGCTTCGAGTAGCTTTCTTTACTATCATCATGGTTCTGAGATAGTAGCTCTAAAAATAGACATGAAATCCAGTCCCCAATTCTTGTAGGCTTCCTCAGTGCTCTTGCTCAGTGGATAAGGGCAGTCCCCAGACATCCCTATAGGACCCCACTCTAAAGGGGCAACAGCAGAGCCACTCCTCAGGTTCCTGCGAAGGTCTTTAGCTGCAGACTACAGTGCTGCGTTCTTTCAGCCCTAATATGCGGTCACTATCGCACTTGCTTAGTAACCCTCATATGTCCTCCTTCAAAGGCTCTCAGAAAAGGGGGGGTCAGAGTCCTAGAGAGGCTGTTTCAAAGGTTTCCTCTAATCATAGGCACCATTTCTTGAGCGCTTGCTATTTCTTGAGTGTCAGACACCATACTAAGTCCATTTTTGCATTTAATCTTCACAACATTTAAATATAGATATTATTAATCCCATTTAATAGATTGGGAAACGGAGACTTTAAAAAGTCAAATAATTTTCCCAGGGTCATACTTCTGGGAAGAATCTTGGGATCTGTCCATCCAAAGTCCATGCCTGTAACCACTGTTCTATAATATATTGGCGGAAAGCAGCACAGTGGGTCAGCAAGGGCGCTGGCTTTGCAGTCAGAAGCCCTGCCACGAACTATTGTGTGACCTTGGGTGGTTGCTTAGCCTCTCCAAGCCCCATCTCTTCATCGTCAACATGGGAATAATGCCCACCCTGCCCTTCTTCCAGTGTTGACACCTGTTGCTGCATTCCAGTAAGTCCATTCCTCTTGGACCAACTTCCTTGTCCATCTGTTTAAGTTCAGGAATCAGGTGGGGTGAGAGCAGAGTCACGGGCTGAGGACGTCTAAAACTAACTTCAGAAGGTACATGTCTTCTTTTTAAATTTTTAATTTGCCTTTGTGTAACTGTATGGGGAGCATGAGCTCTGATGTTTGAAAATGAATTCTAATACTTAAGTTAGCTAGACATGAAATTCATCAAAATAGGCAACCACAGGCAACCACATAGTATGTGCTCAGTAACTAATGGAAGGACAGAAAGAAGACACATACATAAAGAGCAGACAAAACTGGCATTTTTCTCGATCTCTTTTATCTTTTGGCATTTGTTTTTCATGACCTATGTGTGTAACTGATTGGTTCTCTGAGTCTCTATCAAATTAATTTGGCCAAAGTTATTTAATTTTACTCTGTCATTAGCAATAATAAAGAACTTAAAAGCAATAGAGTAACAAATATTCTTAGCCAAACCATGGTATTCTACAGTCTGAATAGCCCTCTGATTTTTCTCAGCTGAGGCATCATGCTAGGATGGGCCTACCTTCTTAAAATCTCAAATTGCCTAGTTGAAGCAATCTTCATGGAGACCACACACACACACACACACACACACACACACACACGCAGCTGATAGAAAAATGAAGCTGCCAGTAGTAGCTAATAAAACCCCAGTGTGTATGTTTATTCCTACAGCCATCAGTTAGCACAATGCTGATGCAGAAAAACATCACGACTCCCTGCTAGTGAGGGCTTTGGGGAACTCTTGGGAGAAACACACACAGATATGAAGATGTGAACATGAATTTATGATGGTTTGGTTAAAAGCAATGTTTGAATGAAGAAAATAAAAGATAGTAAGCAATAACTGGGGGGAGGGCCCCTGACCATATAGTGGGGATTTGGGGGTATATAGAACACAAAGTATTCATCATTCTACATGAACACACTTGTGGCTGAAGCTCTGCCACACAATCACAAAATCAACTCATTTTACTCTTAAAATTGCTACAAAGAGCAAAAATGTAGATGCCAAGGGAGATCCCGTCAAAACTTTTTTAACATTAGGAACATAGTGCATACTCTGTGTAGCGGGCCACCTGTACTGAGAGCCACCACTGGAAGGCTGGCATTTCTGTGCAGCCACATGGCATCGTCATTCCAGTGCCTGAAGTCATCATGTCTCAGAAGGCAAACTCACCTGGCACCTCCAGCCCCTTCCTCAGTTCCCCAGTCCCGTGAGGACAAGAGGCTGGTCTCCAATGAGGATGAGGAGAGCAGCAGAAGGAACAAAGCATTTCTCCTGCCATTCCAACGGCCTCTTCACAACCCTCCCTTCCCATCCTCTGGTTCCCGACAGCCGCCACCCACCAGTCTCAACTGTGCACAAAAGTTACACTTCTGGGCAAGACCTGGAAATTTTACATAATTGGAAATAGAGGGGTCCTGTGTGAGAAACCCTGGGGGCAGCTGAAACGAAGCTCTCTTCTCCTCACCTGTTCTCACTCAATCTTGTTAGAAGCTTGGGAGTCGCTTAAGCTGAGATCTCTCTCCTCACCTGTTCTAACTCAATCCTCTTAAAAGTGTTCATCATAGCACAATGTCCAGATACAAAATGTTTTCTCCCATAGTCAGAAGGCCTTAAGTAAAAATTGTTACATTGTTACATTATTAAGAGATCATTCATTTCTGATTGGGACAGTATTTGAAATACGCAACTCCAGGTACAAAATCAGAGCCTATTACTACTTGTCAGAGACAAAAAGTAAAGAAACACAAAAGGTTTTCATTAACCCCATCCAACAGACGTAGGTAGATGAAAGAGTATCGTGTCCCATAATAACCAGGATATAGGAAGGGCAAAGAACTCCCAGGAATATATTGCTTTTTGTAATTCGGGGTGGGGGAAGTAGAGACAACTTTCATCCAGCTAAGATACCAGGGATTACATAAGAAGCTGCATTGCAAATGTTGGACCCAATAAGAACAACTGAAATTGATTCTGGAATGTGGTTAAACTGCTTTATCTAATACCATTAACAAATAGGAAGATCTTTCATATTGGCAGGAGGATAGTTTCCACTAAGCCTGTTCGATTTTCCTGAAAACTGCCAAGACTCATATGCTCTTTTTCTCCAGCTAAAAGCCCTTAAAGTCCCAAAGTATTGTTTCTGGGATCAGAAAGTTGCCAGGAAGTGTCACCCTTTTCCTCTGAACAGGCCTAACGTCTCCTTTCACCTGTTCCTGGATGCTGGGAGAGGAGGGGAAAGGGTTTCTTTGCAGCCTATTTTCTTGAAACTTTTTAAAAAGAGTTTAGAAACCTCATGGTACATCAGAAATTGTGGCTCAAGAGTGAACATCTGCAGAGAATGAAAAATGAAATTATCCTTCTAGGCCACATTGGGTGGCCTACACTTTGAAACCTAAAATAACCGAGATTCTTCATTATTCCGCGAAGGTGTGTAGAAGATTTAATCAACTGAGCTTTACAAGATGCCCGACAGCTTGTGAGCAAGAAAGTCGATCCCATTTATCCCTGACTTAAGAATCTGTCTCATGCCCCTTCCCACGGGCCACATCTGGGCTGGTCTGCTCGTCTCCAAACTCAGCAGAGGCAGCACCAAGAATCCGTCACCTGCGAGGTGCCACCCAACCCCTGGGAGCAACAAGGCCCACACACCGTAGTGTCCCCACTTCTCTCTCCTCTACTCCCAGAGCCCGACCCAGAAATGCATCACCTCTGGGGACCGAGAAGCAAGAAGACCTTCAAAAGGAAAAGAGGGAGAGAGGGCTTGTATTATATAACAATATTCAGCAGATAAGGCTTCTAGAAAACGAAAGTAGAGGAGGAGGGGCGGGGGGCGGGGGCGGCCAGGGGAGCCGGGCATGGGGAGCGTTCGCAGCCACTTACTCGAAGGCGAAGAACAGTCCGCTCGTGACCAGGATGAGGACGAGAGTCAGGTAGAAGACGCCCGTCTGCCGGGCCATCATGATCCTCCCGTTGCAGAAGAACTTGTTTCTTCCCGGGAAAACCTCCCATTTCCTCCGGGCCGCGATTTTCTTCTTCTTGTGGGGCGACTCCATGGGGGAGGAGCTGTGGGTGCTGATCTGACTGTACTCGCAGTCTTTCATGGGCCCGCCGCCGCCGGGAGGCATCCACGAGGGCAGCCGGCGGGGGGCGCGCACCCCCAGAAGCCCCGCCGCGGCCCCTAAGCGGGCTCTGGGCTCGGCGACAACTTTGCGGAGGACGCCCAGGTGAACCCCTCGGGGAGCCCCGCTGTCATCGCCGGCTC